TTTCCTTCTTAGTGCATGTTCTTGTTCACGTAAAATGCGACCTCTCATCAATGTATTAAAACACTTTGAATGTATACTTTGCATGATTATATTTGGTCAACGCGAAACATTATTTTTTCTAAACATTTTCTGAGACCATTTTTATCAACGCAGGGTTATTTTTCTAGACAAGATGGGCTTCGTAATATCTGCCATAACATCGCCCGGGTGATGCCTAGAAAAATATAAAAAAAAGGCAGTGCAGTCAGACGGCTACTTTGTTTGTTTGTGTACAGAGTGACGTTTGCCATTTCACTGTTTCATTTCAAGTGTAACATGGTGCGTGTTCTCTGCCCGAATATACACCATGAATGTCGCTAGCCACGAGTCTAAGAAGCACTAAAACAACGTCCTGTTATCGTGTTCATTAAAAAACAAAACAAATCACTAACGAATTTATGAAAACAGCTCCTTTTTTAATCGATCTAAAAGTACTCTTTTAATTCGCGCACCAAAAACCAATAATTTCCGTTTTAACGCTATTAGTTCGCGCACTTGAAAAAATAATTATTTTTACTACCGCGAATTAATCGAGTTTTTACGGTACTAAACATTCAAAGCAACAGTGACGCCATTGCTGATGAAATATACAGACCAGCAAATAAAAACAAGACTCTGCCTTGTTGTTTTTTGTTTTTGTTTTTTTTTACATTACAATCCTGTGTGGTGATTACACATGTCTGGATTCCATCAGTGCCATATGGTACAAAAGGCTTATGATGGGGCAAAACAAGTTGTATTGCATCATGCTATGTGCGTGTTGTGTTCTCCCAAAGGAAATCAAAATATGGAGTTCTTGAATGCCATGCTACAAAGCTCATGTACACAATGATATACCATGCATTTCAAATGACAGTGTCACATGTTTATATGTGTTGTGTGTATACATGTAATATGGCAAGTAAATGTCACAGTACAGACTGGAAAACCATATGCTTACCATTGCTGCTACAGTATTTTGACTTAAGCTCAGATATGTGGACGTGAATGCGACATTAGGTTCATAAGCACAGATACAGACATGAATGCAATATGTGGACGTGAATGCGACATTAGGTTCATAAGCACAGATACAGACATGAATGCAATATGTGGACGTGAATCTCACATTGGCTTTGATTCTACATATCCATAAAAGTTTGATTTTCTGGCCAATTAAGATTCAGTTCAACTGGTCACCTCCTTTGATAGGATAATAATTATATTTATTTATAAAATTTATTTATTTGAACATACAAATCATTGATAGGTAAATATCAAATATCTGTATATGTATTTTTACATGCATTTAGAACTTTGAAAATAAATTTAATATGATGTGACAAGAACAGAGTGTGTGATTTCTAGACAGCATAATTAGTAGAGGTCTATATATAGTCTATATATAGTCTACATTGACTGGTACTACTTTAGTAGCGGTAGTAGTCTCTGGTGTTATTTGCATCTACTCTAATAGCATCATTGCATCTACTCCAATACTGTCATTGCTTCTACTATTATGGTTTCATTGCATCAACTCTGATAGTTTCATTACATATACTCTGACAGTTTCGTTGCTTCTACTCCTAATAATTTCATTGCTTCTACTATTATGGTTTCATTGCATCTACTCTGATAGTTTCATTACATCAACTCCAATAATGTCACTGTTTTTAACTATGATGATTTCACTATATCTACTCTGAGAGTTTCATTGCATCTACTTTGATAGTGTCATTACATCAACTCCAACAATGTCACTGTTTTTAACTATGATGATTTCACTATATCTACTCTGAGAGTTTCATTGCATCTACTTTGATAGTTTCATTACATCAACTCCAACAATGTCACTGTTTTTAACTATGATGATTTCACTATATCTACTTTGATAGTTTCATTACATATACTCTGACAGTTTCATTACATCTACTCCAATAATGTCAATGCTTCTACTATTATAGTTTCATTACATCTACTCCAATAATGTCAATGCTTCTACTATTATAGTTTCATTACATCTACTCCAATAATGTCAATGCTTCTACTATTATAGTTTCATTACATCTACTCCAATAATGTCATGCTTCTACTATTATAGTTTCATTACATCTACTCCAATAATGTCAATGCTTCTACTATTATAGTTTCATTATATCTACTCCAATAATGTCAATGCTTCTACTATTATAGTTTCATTACATCTACTCCAATAATGTCAATGCTTCTACTATTATAGTTTCATTACATCTACTCCAATAATGTCAATGCTTCTACTATTATAATTTCATTACATCTACTCCAATAATGTCAATGCTTCTACTATTATAGTTTCATTACATCTACTCCAATAATGTCAATGCTTCTACTATTATAGTTTCATTACATCTACTCCAATAATGTCAATGCTTCTACTATTATAGTTGCATTATATCTACCGGTACTATGGTTTATTGTATCACCCAAATTGACCTGGTGTTCATCTATTTTCAGAGTTGATAAAAAGCGGGATAAAATGGAAAGGAAAGTTTTAGACAGTCAAGAGAGAGCTTTTTGGGATGTACATAGACCTGTACCAGGATGTGTTAACACGACAGAGATGGACATTAAGAAGGCGTGTCGACTTAATAAGCCACTCAAGACTAAGAAGGTAGCATATTGTACTCATTAAATGTTTACTTTTGAAAATGATGTCATCATAACGTGTGTATATTGCCATATATATATGGTCTTTGTGAATCACTACTTTTAATGAGCGACGTTGTGACAATGCATTGTGCTGTTGTGCTTTTTTCAAGCCTTAAGTACATACAATCTACAACAAACCTGGCACAAGACTGAATCACTATAATACTGCCACGTCAAAGTGAGAGTCATCTTCAGTAATGTAGCTCTTAGGCACAATGGCTTCTGTGCTTAATTGCACCCAATGTGTTCATTGATTTTGTCATATCACAGAGTGTGTGTTCACGTTCTCTTGATTTCCCTGATTGGATGCATTAATGGAAAAGTCAGTTGACACCCTAGTATAAAAACAAAATAAAATGCACTTTACACTTGAATTCTTCTTCTTTTTTTTTTTTTTTAGCAAATGGCATATAATGTACCAGGCGGGAGGATAAGTCCGAGTGTTTCTGAGTCTGACCTCCGTACACCAATTGAGGAACTCCAACAACAGGTGAGTAACAAATTATCCAAACATAGAACCAGTTTGAACAAGGTTAAAATCAGCATTCCAACATACCGGGTAATTTGTTTTTCAACAAATTTCTTTAACACCTGTGGCCAATGGGAAAGTGTGTCAATTTGGTCCTGAAGTAATCAAGATTTAATTATAAAAAGAATTTAAAAAATTTAATGCTCTAAAATAAATAAATTTATTCTTCAGATATTTTGGTTTGCAAAATGTGTTGTGGTGGATGACAGCGCCCTCCCGTGGCAATAATTGGGGTTTTCCTAAAATAAAAGAGCATAACATACATACATTTACTTATACAGTTTTTTTTTTTTTTTTTTTTTAAATGTAATTTAGCATTTCATTGGTTTTTCATAATATTGCATTGTGCTCAAGATTAAAACAATCATTATATTATGATCTAGGCCATTAAAAAGTAGTAGACTTCAAAAATAGGTTTCGCATCACTAACACAAACTCATTACCTTTACTAGCCTAGCTTCAAATATACTTTAAACATATGTAGATTTTCAAGCTACATTTTGCTGAGAGCATTTTAGAGGAAAAAAAAATAGAAAATTGTGTTGAACATTTAACTGCAGTCTCCCATACCTAATGTGTTGTCATTCATTATATGCAGTGACATATGGTAAGGGTATCATACGCGCCGACAGACAGAGTGTTATTTAAAATAATCCTTCTTTATCGTCCAATATGGCTGCATAACATTAATAATTTTGTCTCCAAAAACATATGTCGAATTAAAGACAATTTTTGTGAAAAAAAAAAAAAAAATTCAATTTTAGATTATTTTCTAAATAAATAAATACACTGAACATTAGAATTAGTTAGTAGACTCCACATAACTATGTATTTGGTGATATTTAAATTTGAAGCAAAAACTAGAAATGTCAATATTCTACAAGTATAGTGTCTAATCCACCATGGATAATGTGTGACCTTTGACCTGACCTTGAAACCAATTTTTTTTTGAAATATTAAGGATTTGTCTTATTTTGTCTTGATGC